GCTCTACCACTTGAGCTACAGCGCCACTTCCGGTTTTCTGGTGGTTTATTGGAGATAGGAGTCTCACGGTCTTTCCTGCCCGGGCTGGCTTTGAACCGCGATCCTCAGTTCTCAGCCTCCTGAGTAGCTAGGATTACAGGCGTGAGCTACCAGCGCCCGGCTTTGGCCATTCTTTTTTGTTGTTTCTGTTTTTCATTTTGTGCTGGTCATGAGGTTGGAACTCAGAGCCTGGGTATTGCCTCTGAGCTTTTTTGCTCAGTGGAGCCATAGCTCCACTTCTGGCTTTTTGGTGGTTAGTTGAAGATGAGTCTCACAGACTTTCCTGCATGGGCTAGCTTTGAACCTTGATCCTCAAGTCTCAGTCTCCTTAGCAGCGAGGAATACAAGTGTGAGCCACTGGTGCATAGCTTGTTGGTCATTCTTCTTCTGAAGAAGTCTCTATTTAGTAGCTTTACCCATTTATTTGGGTTATTGATTTTTTGGGAGTTTAGTATCTTTAACTTGTATATTCTGGATATTAGGCCTTTGTCACATGTGTAGCTTGCAAAAATTTCCTATTCCGGGCTGGGAAGGTGGTTCAGTGGTAGAGCGCTTGCCTTGCATGCTTGAGGCCCTGGGTTCAATTCCTCAGCACCTCATAAGCAAAAAAGAAAAAAGCCGGAAGTGGCACTGTGACTCAAGTGTTAGAGCACTAGCCTTGAGCTGAATGGCTGAGGGACAGTGCCAAGGCCCAGAGTTCAGGCCCCACGACCGGACAAAAGAAAAAAAAAATTCCTATTTCTAAGCTGTCTGTTTAGCTTGTAACTATGTCTTTTTTTTGAGGATGAATGACTGCTCATGTAACTACTAGAAATATTTTTGCAGGGGGTTAATGTTCTAAAACAATAAACAGAATAATGGAATATTACAGATATAAGAATCTAGAGGCTGGTAATGTGACTTAGTGGTAGAGTGCTTGCCTAGCATGCATGAAGCTCTGGGTTCCATTCCTTAGTACCACATAAACAGAAAAAGCTGGACATTGTGCTGTGACTTAAGTTGGTAGTTAGTCTTGAGCAAAAGCAGCTTAGGGACAGTGGCTAGGCCGAGTTTAAGCCCCAGAACTGGCAAAAAAAAAAAAAAGTATACTATACAAGTATATTCTGATCTCTTAACATTACTTTTAACTGTGAGATTCCAGGCTTCCAGATTCTTTTTTTTGGCCTGTCCTGGGGCTGGACACTGATCCTAATGTTTCTTTTTGCTCAAGGCTACCATTCTACCACTTGAGCCACAGCAAAAGTTCCAGCTTTTTCTGTTCATATGGGCGTTGAGCAAGCACTCTCAAGAGTTTATGGTCACATAAATTACATTGAGAGAATTTTTCTCAGGACCCCACATTCTCCTTTCCCCTTCTCTTCCCTTTCTTTCTGCTATGGCTTGAAACCAGGGACTCACACATATTAAGTGTGAGTGCTCTGCCACTAAAGTATATCTCCAAAGTTAAACGTTTTTTTCTTGTAATTTTTTTATTGTGATTAATCGATTACATAAATTTCACAGTATTGTGAGATAGTGATACTTAGTTAAACTGTCACAAACACATTCTAACCTTCATGAGGCAAATTGTCATTATCGTGATTTATAAAGTTTGTGAATTTTATGAGCTTTGACAATACAACTATTTCTTCCACATCAGGTGGTATGTACATTTCTTTCCTTTTGCTTAATGTTAGCTGTTTCCTATTTCCCTCTTACTCTCTCCCTCCCATCACTGCCCTTGAGTTGCTTAGTTCATTTTCATTAATGTCCAGTATAGCTGATGGGCCCCTCTGTTGTATGTTTCCCCTGTTTCCCTCTGATTCTGTGTCCTCCTCCTAACTTCCCTCATATGTGCGCATATATATACCATGTATGTGGTCAACAACATGGGGTCATTTAGTAGTAATGCTACGACAAGGGCTGGGAAGGTGGTTCAGTGGTAGAGCGCTTGCCTTGCATGCATGAAGCCCTGGGTTCGATTCCTCAGTACCACATAAGCAGAAAAATAAAAAAAGCCGGAAGTGGTGCTATGGCTCAAGTGGTAGAGTGCTAGCCTTGAGCTGAAGAGCTGAGGGACAGCGCCCAGGCCCAGAGTTCAGGTCCCACGACCGGAACCCCAAAAAAAATTAAAAAAAAAAAGTAATGCTACAAGATGAGTGGAGGTCCTTTGTTTCTTGAGTCCTATTTACTTTTTTTTTTTTTTTTGGTCGTGGGGCTTGAACTCTGGGCCTGGGCTCTGTCCCTCAGCTCTTCAGCTCAAGGCAAGTGCTCTACCACTTGAGCTACAGCGCCTCTTCCTGTTTTCTAGTGGTTTATTGGAGATAAGAGTCTCACGGTCTTTTCTGGTCTTTTCTGCCCGGGCTGGCTTTGAACCGAGATCCTCAGATCTCAGCCTGGGAATGTGGCTCAGTGGTAGAGTGCTTGCCTTACATGCATGAGGCCCTGGGTTGGATTCCTCGGTACCACATAAGCAGAAAAATCCAGAAGTTGTGCCGTGGCTCAAGTGATAGAGCACTAGCCTTGAGCTGAAGAGCTGAGGGACAGTGCACAGACACAGAGTTCAGGCCCCACAACTGACAAAAATAAATAAATAAAAAAAATTAAAGCTTAGGGTAAATGCTAAATAGCCGGTAAAAGTAATTAAAATGATCCTGATGATTTTGTTTTTAATAATTTTTAAAGCTAACAGTTGGCTACTTGGGAATTATATATGAGTAAGATTTTGCTAAATATCATAGTTAATTGCATTTTTGTTATTTGGATATGAATATTATTATAGTCTAATTCTAGGATTGCTCTTTTTACTTCCCATGGCTTTTATTTTAACAAAGTAAGTGATTGTTACAAAGGCTGACATTTTGACCTTGTTTTGTTCACAGGGAAACATCTCCACATACATTTCAACTAGACTTATTCTTCAACAATGTAAGCAAACCAAGTGCCCCAGTTTTTGATAGGTTGGGAAGGTATGTATCTACTATGTAATTTCATTGGATACCTCATGGGTTGTAAGTTATGAGATGAGAAGACAAGGTAGTATCTGGTGGTAGAACCAGAAATGCAGGGTTTAACTTTTATCAATTGGCAGTATGAAATAAATGTCAAATTTGTAAAAAGATGTCTATTTAATAGAGTTAATTGTGTGAATTATAAGTCATATTTCTTTTTTTTTTTAACTTTTACATACATTTCTTTTTTGTGCCAGTCCTGGGGCTTGAACTTAGGACTCAGGTCACTCTTTTTCGCTTAAGGCTAGTACTCTAGTACTTGAGTCATATCTCTGCTTCTGGCTTTTTTTGTGGTTAACTGGAGATAATAGTCTCATGGATTTTCCTGTCTGGGCTGGTTTTGAATTACTATCATTATTTTTCAGGATTATAGGCATGAGCCATGGGTTCTCATGCATATATTTCTTTTTTCTTTTTCTCTTTTTTTTTTTTTTTCCTTTTGTCAGTCATGGGACTTGAACTCTAGGCTTGGGTGCTGTCCCTGTGTTCTTCAGCTCAAGGCGAGTGCTTTACTACTTGAGCTACAGTGGCACTTTTAGTTTTCTAGTGATTTATTGGAGATAAGAGTCTCATGGACTTTTCTGCCCAGGCTGGCTTTGAACCGTGATCCTCAGATCTCAGCCTCCTGAGTAGTTAGGATTACAGGCATGAGCTACCAGCACCTGGTGTGTATTTCTTAGACACATGATACTATTATGATATATCTGGTTTGTTAGCAACGATTTGGAAAAGATTGCTTTGGGGGGGGTAGGGGGTAGGGCGTGTGAGTGGGGTGGGCATTACTGGAGTTTGAACTCAAGGCCTCACACTGCTAGGCAATAGTTCTTAACACTGAGCCATACTTCCAGGCAGAAAAGATTGCCTTTGATTTCTCTCTCTCTCTCTCTCTTTTTTTTTATGGTGGTACTGGGGTTTGAACTTAAAGTCTTGTACTTATTAAATGAGCACTATATCCCTTGAGCCATACTCCAGCTCTGCTGTTTGATTTTTTGAAAAGCTATATAAACACAATGAAAGATAATATTTTTGTGTATGTGGTAGTTCTAGGACTTGAATGTGGGGCTTTGTGCTCTTATTTTGCTTTTAGCTTGCCTTTTCATTCACAGCTGGCTCTACCAATTGAGTCTCTTAAGTCTAGTTTTTTACTGTGTAATTTGAGTTTCTTTATATACATAATATAATAAGAGTTTCTTTATCTTCTCAGGCTGGCTTCTAACCATATGATCATCAGATCTCAGCCTACTGAATAGCTAGGACTATAGGCACTACAGGCAGTGCCCTGTCAAAGTTAATGTTATGTTTTTTTTTTTTTTGGTCGGCTGTGGGGGCTAAACTTTGGGCCAGGGCGCTGTCCCTCAGCTTTTCAGCTCAAGGCTAGCGCCCTACCACTTGAGCCACAGTAATACTTCCCACTTCTTTTTTCTGCTTATGTAGTGCTGAGGAATTGAACCCAGGGCCTCATGCATGCAAGGAAGGCACTGTACCACTGAGCCAACCTCCCAGCCCCATGTTATGTTTTTTTATAGCATACTGGTGCTAAATTAGAAACTCATATCACTATCAGAGAACATTATATGCATTTTTGGAAATATCACCATAATTAATATACATTAATAAAAATAAGGACAAGAAAAATTTCTGTGGTTATATTTTCACATTTTACAAGATGAGAGTTATTTATTATTAGTAGTAAGTAGTTATACAAAGCGGTTACAATTTCTTTTCTTTTTTTTTTTTTTGGGTCTGGTCATGGGGCCTGAACTCTGGGCCTGGGTGCTGTCCCTCAGCTCTTCAGCTCAAGGCTAGTACTCTACCACTTGAGCCACAGCGCTACTTCCGGCTTTTTTTTTCTGCTTATGTGGTGTGGGGGCCTCAGGCATGCAAGGCAAACACTCTACCACTGAGCCAACTCCCCAGCCTGCGGTTATAATTTCATAAGCTAGTTTTGATCAGTTTCTTGATCAATGAATGATGCTTTCCATTGTTCTTCCTTCCTTGTGTGTGTGTTTGTGCACGCGTGCGTGCACACTTGGGCTTAACTCAGTGTCTGGACACTGTCCCCAAGCTGCTTTTGCTCAAGCCTGGCTAACACTTTACCACTTGAGCCACACCTCCACTTCCAGCTTTTTCAAAGTAGTTTATTGGAGATCAGAGTTTCATGGACTTTCCTGCCTGGCCTGGCTTTGAACCACAATCCTTAGATCTAGCTTCCTGAGTAGCTAGGATTATAGGTATGAGCCTATTTCCCTGCCCCCAGTTATTACTATTTTTTTTTTTTATGCCAGTTGTGGGGCTTGGTCTCAGGGTGCTGTGTTCTCCCCTAGCTTTTTTTTTTTTTTTCTCAAAGCTGACAGTCTATCACTTGAGCCACAGCTCTTCTTGTGGCTCTCTGGTAGTTAATTGGAAATCAGAGTCTTATGGACTTTCCTATACAGCCTGACTTTGAGCCACAATCCTCAGATCTCAGCTTCCTGAGTTGTTAGGATTATAGGCATGAGCCACCAGTGCCTAGTTGAAGCTTATTTTTTTTTTAGAATTCATTATGCTAAAAATTAAAAAGCTTAAGATGGAAAAATGTTCTATTTCAATGAGTAATTTGTATTTTCTTAAACTTCATTTTATTAATTTTATGAAATCATATTGATAATTGAACCTTTTACCTTTTAAAAAAAAATTGCCATCCTGGGGATCAAACCCAGAACCTTTCCCATGTGAAACAAGTGCTCATCAGTGATCTATAACCCCCAGTTCTATAATGCTTTTTCACAAATGTTGGTTCTAGCGTATACTTTTGTAAGACTATAGTGCAGTGGTTCTTAACTCTGCCTGTAGATTATAGTTGCCTGGAAGATTTTTTTAAAATTACCTATGTCTTTATTTATCTCAAACTAAGTCAATCTTTATGGCTTATACTTTTATACTATGATTTATACTGTTTTAGGGAGAAGTAATTAAGCTCAAGCTTGTAGTTTGTTAATTCAAAACAAAAATTTTAACGGCAATTGTATTGAGTTATTATATCTAGAAAGTCTTTTTCAAATTATTATATTTAGGAAATCTCATAATTTTTTTTTTTTTTTTGTCAGTTGTGGGGCTTGAACTCTGGGCTTGGGCGCTGTCCCTCAGCTCTTCAGCTCAAGGCAAGCGCTCTACCACTTGAGCTACAGCGCCACTTCCAAATCTCATAATTTGTAACGTTCGTTGTTTGTATCTGTATATTTATTTATTCCTACTTTTTGACAGCCTGGAATATGACGAGAATACTTCTATCATCTTTAGACCCAACTCAAAGGTAATTATAGAAGTTATTTTTCACCTTGTCACTGCTGACTTTTCTCACTTTCAAAGTTTTGGTCCACATAAATGAATGGTGCAGACTTTGGTTCTAGTGATTGAGAATGTCATTTTCTTGTCTCTGTCCTCTTGCATCCAGATGCTATTTTAAAGTTGTTTTATAAAGCCACCCTGTAAAGAGTGTAAAGATCTCTTTCCCATTTATTGTATACATGGGTCTTCAAGAGGACAGCATTCTTGTCTTCCCTTTTTAAAAATTTAGGTCAGAGCTAGGGAACATCCAGACCTCAGGCAGAATTAGGCTAGTGAAGTAATTTGATTCATGATGAAACACATAGGGTTCACATTTATTTCTTGTGTGCTTCTCATTGGAGGTCCAAGTCATTTTCCATCTTGGTAATTTTGTTTGAGCTGCAAATGTTCTTATAAATAGCCCTTGGCAGAAGAAAAGTTCCCCACCCTTGATATAGGTGGACAAGTTCAGTAGATTCAGTTAGGCAACTTACTACATACCAGTCTGTGCTTTAATTGAGTTTTCTTTTTTCTTTTTTTGTCAGTGTTGTGCCTGAACTCTGGGCCTGGGCACTGTCCCTGAGCTCCTCAGCTCAAGGCTAGCACTCTACCACTTGAGCCACAGTGCCACTTCCAACTTTTTTGTTTATGTGGTGGTGAGGAATCGAACCCAGGGCCTCATGCATGAAAGGCAAGCACTCTACCACTGAGCCACCTTCCCAGCCCCTAATTGAGTTTTCTTAAAATATACATTTCCTATTTCCTTCTTTTATGTCACTAACATGCCTTATTTTTTTATGTACCAAAATGCCATTATAGAAGCATCTAATGGAAGATCTGAAATGCAAAAATAATTGTGACTAAGTATGCAACTACTCAGTTTGCTATTTGATTTTGGGAGCATCCTGTTCATTAAAAAATGATCTGGGGCTGGGAATGTGATTTAGTAGTAGAATGCTTGCCTAGCATGTATGAAGCATTGGGTTCAATTCCTTAGTACCACATAAACAGAAAAAGCCAGAAGTGGCACTGTGGCTTAAGTGGTAGAATGCTAGCCTTGAGCTAGCTCAGGGATGTACCCGAGTTCCAGCCCTAGCACTGGCAAAAAAAAAAAAAAAAAAAAATTCCAATGGAATTTCTGTTTCGAGTTGCTATCAGTTTATGGGCCTCATCTTTGAGATTTTTTTTTTTTTTTTTCGTGCCAGTCTTAGGGCTTCAATGTAGAGTCTGTGCTCTGTCCCTGAGCTTTTGTGTTCAAGGCTAGTGCTTTGCTACTTTGAGCCACAGTGTCATTCTAGTTTTCTGATGGTTTATTGGAGATAGGAGTCTCATGGATTTTCTTGTCTGGGCTGGCCTTGAACAACTATCTTCAGATTTCAGCCTCCTGAATAACTAGGATTATAGTCAGCAGCTACCAGTGCCTGGCTTATCTTTCAGCCTTTCTCATCAGCCTTTCCCAACTTTCTCTTTAATAGTCTAGGAGAATAATAATTATTCTCATCCTTATTGTGCCTTCAGAAGGTTTTTTTTTTTTTTTTGGTCGGTCGTGGGGCTTGGACTCTGGGTCTGGGGGCTGTTCCTTAGCTCTTCACCTCAAGGTGAGCACGAGGTCAGCTCAAGGTTTTCACCGGTGCCTGGCTACCATTACTATTTAATGAATAAGAAATTTAGAGCATCTAAGCCAAGTACCTGTGGCTAATGATGCCTATAATCCTAGCTACTCAGGAGGCTGAGGTCTGAGGATTGCAGTTCAAAGCCAGCCTGGGCAGCAAAGTCCATGAGACTCTTATCTCCAATACAACAACCAGAAACCAGAAATGGCACTGTAGCTCAAGTGGTAGAGTGCTAGCTTTGAGCTGAATTGCTGAGGGACAGTGCCAAGCCCAGAATTCAAGCCCCACGACCAGTATATGTATATGTGTGTGTGTATTATTTTATAAGGATATATTGAGGGTTAATGTTATTGGTGAAGTATGATCTTTCCTTTCTTTTTTTTTTTTTTCCAGTCCTGGGGCTTGAACTCTGGGCCTGGGCACTGTCCCTCAGTTCTTCAGCTCAAGAAGAATACCTCTTGAGCTCAGCAATACTTCCGGTTTTCTAGTGGTTTATTGGAGATAAGAGTCTCATGGACTTTCCTGCCTGGGTTGGCTTTGAACCTCGATCCTCAGATCTCAGACTCCTGTGTAGGATTACAGGCGTGATCCACCTTGGCTAATGTGAGAATTTTATCTCCAGTTAATGACCTGAAAACCGGAAGTGGTACTGTGGCTCAGGTGGTAGAGTGCTCTCCTTGAGCTGAAGAGGTGAGGGACAGCACCCAGGCCCAGAGTTCAAGCCCCACAACTAACCCCCAAAAAAAGACAATTTATTAACTGGGTGTAGAGGCTCACACTTGTAACCCCAGCACTTGAGAGGATAGGGAAATCTAGGCTAGCCTGAGCTACATGGTAAGGTAGAAACAAGTCTGGGTTATATAACAAAGCTGGGTTATATAAACAAAGTTTCAGAAGATAAGCCAGCCTCCCCCCAAAAGTTGGCTTAATGAATCTGGGTGTCTATACTTTTTTTTTTTTCTTCTTCTTTTTTCTTTTTTTCGGTCTTGGTGCTTGAACTCTGGACCTGGGCGCTGTCCCTCAGCTTTTCAGCTCAAGGCTCGCGATCTAACCCATGAGCCACAGCACCACTTCCAGTTTTTTGGTGGTTAATTGGACATAATAGTCTCATGGACTTTGCTGCCCAGGCTGGCTTTGAACAGCTATTCTCACATCTCAGCCTCCTGAGTAGCTAGGATTATAGGCATGAGCCACCGGCGTGGGTGCCTATACTTTTAAGCTGCAGTTTGAATTCATAAAGCATAACTCTCAGGTATGACTTGGACCATTTCCATTCTGGAGACTGGCACAATTTATGATTTTGTTTACCTTTGTGATCCAGGTTATACATTTTGAAAAGGATTAGTAGCAATGCAGAGCTAGAAGAGATGTCTTAGGATAGTTTAGTTAGAGAAAGAATCATAAAATCTGTGCCTTAGGTAAATTTTGCAAATATTAGTAAAGGTACAATAACATTTTGAATTTTCAGCATGCTTTTAAAGACTTTATTCTTTAAAATTATAAACTAACAATTTCAGTTTACTTCTAGTACATTTAAATATTAATTTGAAAGATTTCCTTCCCCCCCTAAACTTCAGGTGAATACTGATGGTCTGGTGCTAAGAGGCTGGTATAATTGTCTGACACTGGCAATATATGGCTCAGTTGATAGAGTGATAAGTCATGACAGAGACTCTCCACCACCACCACCTCCTCCTCCACCACCTCCTCAGACACAGCCCAGTTTAAAAAGGAATCCAAAGCATGGTGAGAATTATAAATTTGATTTTGTCAATGAAACATGTCTGTTGTAAGAAAAGCTAATTCAAGAATTTTTTTTTTTTGGTCCAGTTGTGGGGCCTGAACTCTGGGCCTGGACGCGGTCCCTCAGCCCTTCAGCTCAAGGCTAGCGCTCTACCACTTGAGTCACATGGCTTTTTTTTCTTTTTGCTTATGTGGTGCTGAGGAATTGAACCCAGGGCCTCAGGCATGCAAGGCAAGGCAAGTGCTCTACCACTGAGCCACCTTCCCAGCCCCTTCAAGAATTTTATCTTTTTTTTTTTTGCCAGTTGTGGGACTTGAACTCTGGGTCTGGGTGCTGTCCCTCAGCTCTTCATCTCAAACCTAGCACTCAACCACTTGATCTACAGCACCACTTCCCGCTTTTTCTGTTTATGTGGTGGTGAGGAATCAAACCCAGGGCCTCATGCATGCTAGGCGAGCACTCTACTACTGAATTGTATTAAGCCAATATCTGTTCTTTTCTACAATGTCTTGTAGAATGTCTTTTTTTTTTTAAAAATATTTTATTTATTTATTTTGGTCAGTCATGGGGCTTGAACGCTAGGCCTGAGCGCTGTCCCTCAGCTCTTCAGCTCAAGGCTAGCGCTCTACCGTAGCACCACTTCCGGTTTTCTGGTAGTTTATTGGAGGTGGTTTCACTGCTTTTTCTTCCTGGGCTGGCTTTAAACTGTGATCCTTAGATGTCAGCCTCCTGAGTAGCTAGGATTATAGGCATGAGCCACCGGCGCCTGGCTTTAAGTTTTATTTTTAAAGAAAATGTCTGTATTTCTCTCTCTTTCTTTCTTTCTGTTTTTCCTTCCTTACCTCACAACTTTTTTTTTTTCTTTTCTACAGACTGCCCATGCTAGGCAAAGGATTTACAATTGAGCATCTCAGCTAGGGAGTTTTTCAAGTTGATACAGGAGTTTCTTTCTCATTCTGCAATTCAGTGCTATTTTTTTTTTTAAACAGAAGAATTGAATAGCTAGAAAGTTGGGCATGGGTTCCTGGAACATTTATGTTAATTTTTTTAGGAGTGCATTTGAAATATGTTTGTAGGAATGTATTATTAAATATAGAAGTAGCTTAACTTATTAAGCTACTCAATACTTAACAGTAAATTTTGAAGATAAACTCAAATGAAAAGAATTTTTCATGCATAATTTCACTATAACAATTTGAATTTTTTTTTCCCTTTCTCTAATAACACTCTAGTTGATGGTGAGAAAGAAGATCAGTTTAATGGAAGTCCTCCAAGACCACAACCAAGGGGACCAAGAACTCCTCCAGGGCCTCCTCCACCAGATGATGATGAAGATGATCCTATGCCTTTGCCAGGTATAGAATCAGAGCTATGGGCTTGTAACCTTCCCCTCTCCCACCATTAGTGTTAATTAGTGCTTTTTTCAATTGAAAAAAAATTGTTTTTATTTATTTTTTGGTTCTCACACTTGAGGTTGAATTCAGGGCTTTGCACTCTGGTTTAGCTTTTTCTCCCAAGGCTAATACCTCTACTTCTGTCTTTTTTGTTGTTGTTGTTGGTGGTGGTGGGGCCTGAATTCTGGGCCTGGGTGCTGTCCCTCAGCTCTTCAGCTCAAGACTATGACTCTACCACTTGAGCCACAGTACCACTTCCCGTTTTTTCTGCTTATGTGGTCTGAAGATTCAAACCTAGGGCCTCATGCATTCAAGGCAAGCACCCTACCACTGAGCCACCTTCCCTCCTTCCCTTTTTTTTTTTTCCCCCAGTCATAGCGCTTGAATTCTGGCACTAGGCACTGTCCCTCAGCTCTTCAGCTCAAGGCAAGCACTCTACCACTGGAGCCACAGCGCCACGTCCAATTTTCTGGTGGTTTATTGGAGATAAGAGTCTCATAGACTTTCCTGCCTGGGCTGGCTTTGAACCTTGATCCTCAGATCTCGGCCTCCTGAGAAGCCAGGATTATAGGCATGAGCCACCGACACCTGGCAAGGATTGTGTTTTGAAATGAACTCAGGAATGAAAGTTCATGAGACCCTTACTCTAGTTACCCACCAAAAAGCTGAAAATGAAGCTGTGACTCAAGTGGTAGTGTAGTAGCTCTGAGACAAAAGTGTAGGGACAGCACCTAGTCCTTGAGTTTAAGCCCTAGGAATGGCACAGATACCAAAAACAAACAAAACAAAAACTACAAATCTCTTGGATTCATCTACCTAGACTAGCTTTAATCCTCATATTCCAGCCTCTTGAGTAGCATAAGCCACTAGCTCTAATATACATATATTTTTTAGAAGCCATTTTTTTTTTCCCCCAGTTCTGGGGCTTGAACTCAGGACCTGGGTACTGTTCCTGAGCTGCTTTTGCTCAAGGCTAGCACTCTACACTTGAGTCACTTCTGTTTGTATGGTACTGAAGAATTGAACCTAGGGCTTCATGCATGCTAGGCAAGCACTCTACTACTAAGTCACATTCACAGCCCTTCTTAGTATTTGTTTTGTTGTTGTTGTTGTTTGTCGTGGGACTTGAACTCTAGCCTGGTGTTGTCCCTGAGCTCTTCAGCTCAAGGTGGGTGCTCTACCACTTGAGTCACAGTAGCGTTTTCCATTTTCAGTTTTCTGGTGGTTAATTGGAGATAAGAGTCTCTTAAGCTCCCCATGGCTCATGCTTGTAATCCTAGCTACTTGGGATGCTGAGATTTGAGGATCAGAGTTCAAAGCCAGCCCAGACAGGAAAAGCTGTGAGACTCTTATCTCCAATAAACCACCAGAAAACTGGAAGGGGTAGTGTCACTTAAGTGGTAGAGTGCTAGGCCTTGAGCTGAAGAGTTCAGTGACAGCGCCCAGGCCCAGAGTTCAAGCCTGATGACCCCCCCCAAAAAAAAAAAGTCTCGTAGACTTTTCTGCCCAGGCTGGCTTTGAACTGTGATCTGCAGATCTCAGCCTCCTGAATTGCTAGGATTATAGGCATGAGCCACTGGCATCTGGCCTCTTAGTATTTTTTGAAAGCAAATATTCTGCCACTTTTTAAGGTATGCATAAGCTAAGTCATCCAGAATGTCATTAACTTGATGTAATAGCCAGTCCTGCTGCTTTGTGTTACTTAAATCATTGAAATAATCTGTCTTAAATCTCATTTTTTTTTCAGTGTCTGGTGATAAGGAAGAGGATGTTCCCCATAGAGAAGATTACTTTGAGCCCATTTCTCCAGATCGGAATTCTGTGCCCCAGGAAGGTCAGTATTCTGATGAAGGAGAAGTAGAAGAGGAACAGCAAGAAGAAGGAGAAGATGATGATGATGATGTGGATGTAGAGGAAGAAGAGGATGAGGATGAAGATGATCGCCATACAGTAGACAGTATCCCTGAGGAGGAAGAGGAAGATGAAGAAGAAGAAGGTGAAGAGGATGAAGAAGGTGAAGGTGGGTTATATTAATTCGAACTTTTTGGTTTTAAGTACTAGAAATTACCTAGATGTAGCTTTAAGCACTAGCAGAAATTTTTTTTTTTTTTGGGTCTGGTCGTGGGGCCTGAACTCTGGCCTGGGCGCTGTCCCTCAGCTCTTCAGCTCAAGGCTGGCACTCTACCACTTGAGCCACAGCGCCACTTCTGGCTTTTTTTCCCCTGCTTATGTGGTGCTGAGGATTCGAACCCAGGGCCTCAAGCATGCAAGGCAAGCGTTCTACCACTGAGCCATCTTCCCAGCCCCAGAAAATTTTTTATCAAAGATAAAAGGGACTCAGGAAATGAAGCGTTAAGTCGGTAGCCTTCAAGACACAACTAGAAGTGAGATTTGTATATCTGCTTTTTGTATTTATTTTATTCTGTATCAATTAACCTGTTTATTTTCTCCACAACCAAATCTCTGTTAAACCAACTTGAATTGTCTGACTTGATTTCACTCCTATTTGCAATTTCCTAGGAAAACGATTTTTGTATTTCTTACCACAATATGAATTGAGCCTTGTTTCCATCAGCTTTAGCCAGGAAGACTGTCATGAAGTAAAAACATGGTGATTAGGGATTTGGTGGCTTGAAGTATTTCTCATTTTATTTCTGGGATAACAAGACATCTATTATAGTTAGCTGTAAAGCTTAACAGGTGAAATAGAAGAAGTATTAAAAAAACAAAACAACAGTTTGTTCAGCCGGGCGCTGCTGGCTTACACCTATAATCCTAGCTACTCAGGGTACTGAGATCTTAGGATCGTGGTTCAAAGCCAGCCTGGGCAGGAAAGTCTGTGAGACTTTTCTCCAATAAACTACCAGAAAACTGGAAGTGGTTCTATGGCTCAAGTGGTAGAGCACTAGCCTTGAGCTGAAGAGCTGAGGAACAGTGCTCAAGTCCAGAGTTCAAGCCTCATGACACACACACACACGCACGCACGCACGCACGCACGCACGCACAAAATTTGTTCATAATTAACTATTAGGAATTAGGAAATAAATATACTTGAACCATACCTGTCCCGACCCGCAGGACTTCAACGTGGGCAATGAACCTAAACGAGAAGGAATGAGGGGACAAGAGACACGAAGAATGATAGCAAGACAGGGATTCTGATCAAGCTGCTAAATTTTATTTTTCACACAGCTGTATTTATAAGGAAGCTTTTTCATTAGCCGTCATTGGCTGAAGCAGCTGTAGGATGTTTGCTTAAGGCAAGGTGAAAAAGGTGGTCGGTCTTTAGCTGCTGCAGGGTGTTTACTTAGGGCGTGGTGAAAAGGTGGGATTTTGTAAACTCAGCCTCTAGTTGTTCCAGTGAGATAGTTAAGCCTATTATGTTGAGAGACTCAACTTTTGGCTCCCAACACATACCTCCCAGTTTATTCTTTTCTCTTTCTTTCTCTCTCTCTCTCTGTCTTTTTTTCTCTCTTTCGTCGGTCGTGGGTTTGAACTCTGGGCCTGGTACTGACCCTGTGCTCTTCAACTCAAGGTGAATGAGTGCTCTGCCACTTGAGCCACATTGCCATGCCTGCTTTTCAGGTGGTTAATTGGCAATAACAGTCTCATGGACTTTCCTGCCCCAGCTGGCTTTGAACCTGAGTAGCTAGGATTATAGGTGTGAGCCAACGGTGCCTGGCTTATTCAGGCTTTTTTGCTGGTTAATTAGATTTCTTCTTTTTTTTTTTTTGGTCCGGTCATGGGGCCTGAACTCTGGGCCTGGGCGCTGTCCCTCAGCTCTTCAGCTCAAGGCTAGCGTTCTACCACTTGAGCCACATGCCACTTCCGGCTTTTTTCTTTTTGCTTATGTGGTGCTGAGGAATCGAACCCAGGGCCTCAGGCATGCAAGGCAAGCGCTCTACCACTGAGCTACCTTCCCAGCCCCAGTTAATTAGATTTCTGATGCTTGTAATCCTACTTACTCAGGAAGCTTAGATCTGAAGATCATGGTTCAAAGCCAGCCAAGTACAGGAAAGTCCATGAAGTCTTTTTTGTTTTTGTTGGTTATGGGACTTGAGCTTGGAATCTGAGCGTTGACTCTTGAGTTGTTTTGCTGAGTTGTATCGCTCTATTACTTAGAGCCACAGTTCCACTTCTAGTTTTCTGGTGGTTAAGTGGAGATATAAGAATTCACAGGCTTTTCCTGCCTTTTCAACTGTGATCCTAAGGTTTTAGCCTACTAAGTACCTAGGATTATAGGTGTGAGCCACTTGTGCCTGCTCTATGAGGCTCTTATCTCTAATTACCACCCAGATAGCCAGAAATAGAGCTGTGGCTCAAGAAGAACACTAGTATTTTTTGTTTTTATTTTTTTCAGTCCTGGGGCTTGAACTTAGGGCCTGGGCACTGTCTCTGAGATTCTTTTTCTCAAGGCTAGCACTCTAACACTTGAGCCACAGTGTTACTTCCGGCTTTTTCTGTTTTATGTGGTGCTGTGAATCGAACTCAGGGCTTCATGCATGCTAGGCAAGCACTCTACCACTAAGCGCCACATTCCCAGCCTAGAGCACTAGTCTTTAACACAGAAGCTCAGGGAAGTGCCCAGGCCTCCTTGAGTTCAAAGCCCAGGACTGGCACAAAAACAAAAAATAAATACAAAGCCTGCCCTAGTGGCTCATGTCTGTAATCCCAGCTGCTCAGGAGGCTGAGATCTGAGAATCATAGTTTGAAGCTAGCCGCTAGTCTGGTCGGGATAGTCCATGAGACTCTTCAGTTACTAACCAAAAACATTCTGGAAGTGACTTGGAAGGATGACTGTACTCTAGTTGAAACTGTGGGTCAGCCGGTCAGAAGAGATAATATAGGGGCTGGGAAGGTGGCTCAGTGGTAGAGCGCTTGTCTTGCATGCCTGAGGCCCTGGGTTCGATTCCTCAGCACCACATAAGCAAAAAGAAAAAAGCCGGAAGTGACGCTGTGGCTCAAGTGGTAGAGCGCTAGCCTTGAGCTGAAGAGCTGAGGGACAGCGCCCAGGCCCAGAGTTCAGGCCCCATGACCGGACCCCCCCCCCCCAAAAAAAAAGAGACAGTATAGGAGTGTGTGCAGAAAAGCAAAATGGATACGACTCTCTGCAGTGCGATCAAGCTGTGTGCATCAGTACAAACGGTGCTGTCTTTGTCAATGGAAAAGAAATGACTAATCAGTTGCCTGCAGTTACCTCTGGATCCACTGTGACTCTGTGGAAACTTCAAGCTTGGAGTGACTATTAGCTCCAATAACGGAGAAGTGGTTTTTGATTGGTTACTTGATCAGTCTTGTGGTTCTCTTTATTTTGGATGCTCCTTTTTCTATCCAGGATGGAAAGTTTTGGTGTTTTGAGAGTTTGGATATATGGCTTTGATTTGCAGGGTTTATTGTAGCTATCTTCATTGTGGTTGTAGCTGATTTTTTTGTTTTTTTTTTGGTCAGTCGTGGGGCTTGAACTCTGGGCTTGGGCACTGTCCCTGCGTCTTCAGCTCAAGGTGAGCACTCTACCACTTGAGCCACAGTACCATTTCCGGTTCTAGTGGTTTTTATTGGAGATAAGAGTCTCACGGACTTTCCTGCCCAGGCTGGCTTTGAACCACGATCCTCAGATCTCAGCCTCCTGAGTAGCTAGGATCACAGGCGTGAACCACCAGCACCCGGCTGTAGCTGATTTTTAAAAGCTGAATTCATCTCTTTGGCGTTGGAAATGAAAAGCATTTACAGGTTCATATTCTAATATTTTAGTAATAGGAGAATTGAGCAGTGCATTCAAAACCATAATTTATTTTTGTTTTTAGCCTACTGTTAAAATGCTACAACACAATAAAAATGAAATTAGCTGTAAAACAAAAAAAAATTCTGGAAGTGGAGCTGTGGTTTAAGTGGCAGAGCATCAGCCTTGAACAATAAAGTTCAGGGACAGCACTCAGGCCCTGAGTTCAAGTCCCAAGGCATGCACCTTTCTCTTTAGAGAAAGAGATGGGGAGACAGATAAAGCGGTAGCAAGGAGAGGGAGAAGAGAGAGGAATCATTGTTGTAAAGGGAAACAAATGGATTATGCTGAGAAAAATAATTAATTCTTGATGTTTTGCATATTATAAAATAAATTATTTTTTGAGAAAAAATATGCATTAATCACCAATGGTATAATACTCTGAAACTTATTTTCAGGGGATGATGGTTATGAACAAATTTCCAGTGATGAAGATGGAATTGCTGACTTGGAGCGGGAAACATTTAAGTATCCAAATTTTGATGTTGAATACACTGCTGAAGATTTAGCATCTGTTCCTCCTATGACATATGATCCATATGACAGAGAGCTAGTGCCACTCTTATACTTCAGTTGTCCATACAAGACTACTTTTGAAATTGAAATGAGTAGAATGAAGGATCAAGGTCCAGATAAAGAAAATTCTGGGGCAATAGAAGCATCATTGAAGTTAACTGAATTGTTAGAGTTGTATCAGGAAGATAGAGGTGCAAAATGGGTAACTGCACTAGAAGAAATTCCAGGTTTAATAATAAAAGGATTAAGCTATTTGCAATTGAAAAACACAAAACAAGACTCACTTGGCCAATTGGTGGACTGGACAATGCAAGCTTTAAATTTACAAGTAGCCTTTCGACAACCCATTGCCTTAAATGTCCGACAGCTGAAAGCTGGGACCAAATTAGTATCTTCATTAGCAGAATGTGGAACTCAAGGAATAACAGAATTACTACAAGCAGGAGTGATCAGTGTATTATTTGAGCTTCTATTTGCAGATCATGTTTCATCTTCCCTTAAGTTAAATGCTTTTAAAGCTTTGGACAGTGTCATTAGTATGACAGAAGGAATGGAAGCTTTTTTAAGAGGTAGTCAGGATGAAAAAAGTGGCTATCAAAAACTTCTGGAGCTCATACTTTTAGATCAGACTGTGAGGGTTGTTACTGCTGGTTCAGCTATTCTTCAAAAATGCCATTTCTATGAAATCTTGTCAGAGATTAAAAGACTTGGTGATCTTTTAGCAGAGAAGACTTCATCTGTTCCTAACCATAGTGAACCTGATCATGACACAGATGCTGGACTTGAGAGAACAAATACAGATTATGAAAATGAAGTAGAAGTGTCTATGGACATGGATCTTTTGGAATCCTCAAATATAAGTGAAGGGGAAATAGAGAAACTCATTAACCTCTTAGAAGAAATTTTTCATTTAATGGAAACTGCACCTCATACAATGATCCAGCCTCCTGTTAAATCTTTTCCAACAATGGCAAGAATTACTGGACCTCTAGAGAGAGATGATCCATACCCTGTTCTCTTTAGGTAAGATATATTTTGTCTTTTGGTGGAAAAAGATTTCACCAATCATTAGAGGTAATTGTATGTCATAAGTTTTTTGTTGTTGTTGTTTTTGTTTTTTACTGTACTGAGGATTGAACTTAGGACTTTCTGCTTACTATACAGGTGCTCTACCACTTGAGCCATGCTTCCAGCCATGATACTGTTCTTTTTTCTAATTCTTCATAATGCATAAAATGATTGTAAAAATAATTGGTATTTCAAACTAGATATTCAGTAGCAAAACTGAGAATCATGATCCTGTAATTGAACATATTTTGTTTTAGTAGTTAAAGCAGAATTAAGAACATGTGTGAAAGATAGTAAACAATTAGTATAAGCAAGTCTGTAAGTAAAAACAAATGGGAAGTAATATAAAGGCCTGGTATAGGAAGGAGAGAGCTTTTATCTATGAAACTTTGTACCTTACTAGCTCCAATACATTGTAAGTTAACAACTCTTTCCTTAGATTCAAAGCAGGTCAGCAGGGATTTAAGTCCTCTGTGCTTCTAGTTGCTCCTTGTGATCTGAGCATTCTTTTATAACTTTAGAGAATGCTCTGAGAATGAAGGGTGGAAGAGGCAGAGTGAATACTTAAAGCTAGATAGTGAAAGTGTGAACATATTGAATAGTGGGAGTTCAATGATGAATCCTTGGGGAGCAGAAATATATAAATGAGCTGGGTACCAGTGACTCACATCTGTAATCCTACCTACTCAGGAGGCTGAAATCTAAGGATCACAATTTGAAGCCAGCCTGGGCAGAAAAGTCCATGAGACTATCTCCAGTTAACCACGAAAAAGCTACCAGTGGAACTATGACTCAAGCAGAGCACCAGCTTTGAATGCAAAAGCTAAAGGAGAGCTCAAGGTCCTGAGTCCAAGCCCTAGGATGTATTCACACATGCATGTGTGTGTGTGCACGTGTACACATGCCCAGATACACATACACGTTATGTATTCAAATAAACTTTGTAATTTGTACAGACGTATTCAGGTTTATAATAAATCTAAGCTTAATGTTTATTATACATGCTATATTTTTCTTGGGTAAACTAATTCTTATATAACAATAGGCCATGAGTCATGAAGAACTAACAGAAAAAGAATGTGTGATAAGAAGCTTAGAAAGAAGGCCCAGAGTTTAGTCAGGATTAACTGAGAAGGAAAAAACTATCAATTTATATCATTTGGTTCAGTGGAGAAAAGACTTGTCACTTTTTGTTTGGTCAGTTGTGGGGCTTGAACTCTAGGCCTGGGCACTGTCCCTGAGCTCTTCAGCTCAAGGCTAGTGCTCTACCATTTGAGCCACTGTGCTACTTCCAGCCTTTTCTGTTATGTGGTGCTGAGGAATTGAACCCAGGGCTTCATGCATGCGAGGCAAACACCTTCCCAGCTCCCAGACGTGCCACTTTTATTGCAGTTTTCAGTAAAAGGAGTTTATTTCTGAGGATAAGAATTAAAGACACAGCCGGGTGCTGGTGGCTCACACCTGTAATCCTAGCTACTCAGAAGGCTGAGATCTGAGGATCACGGTTCAAAGCCAGCCCGGGCAGGAAAGTCCGTGAGACTCTTATCTCCAATAAACCACTTGAAAACTGGAAGTGGTGCTGTGGCTCAAGCGGTAGAGTGCTTGCCTTGAGCTGAAGAGTGCAGGGACAGCACCCAGGCCCAGAGTTCAAGCCCCACGACTGATCAAAAAAAAAAAAAAAGAATTAAAGATAGTTGGGTGCCTGTAGTTCACACCTGTAATCCTAGCTACTTAGGAGGCTGAGATCTGAGATCTGAGGATCATGGTTCAAAGCCATCTTGGGCAGGAAAGTCTTGAGACTCATCTCCAATTAACCACCAGAAAACTGGAAATGATACTATGGCTCAAAGGGATAAAGCCCTAGTCTTGAACAAAAGAGCTGAGGGACAGTGCCCAGGCCCTGAGGGACAGTGCCCAGGCCCTGAGAGACAGTGCCCAGGCCCTGAATTCAAGTCCCACCAAAAAACAAAGTTTCATAAATAATGCTTTGTACTTATTTGATATATGTCAATTTTTCCACAGATATCTTCACAGTCATCACTTCTTGGAGTTGGTTACCTTGCTTCTGTCAATTCCAGTAACAAGTGCCCACCCTGGTGTGCTACAATCCACAAAAGATGTTTTAAAGTTTCTTGCACAGTCACAAAAAGGTCTTCTTTTCTTTATGTCAGAATATGAAGCAACCAATTTGTTGATTCGAGCTCTGTGTCATCTTTATGATCAAGATGAAGAGGAAGGTCTCCAGTCTGATGGTGTTATTGATGATGCATTTGCCTTGTGGCTACAGGACTCAACTCAGACATTACAGTGTATCACTGAACTGTTCACTCATTTTCAGCGTTCTACAGCTAGTGAAGAAACTGACCATTCTGATCTTTTGGGAACTCTTCACAATCTTTATTTGATTACTTTTAATGCTGTGGGAAGATCAGCTGTTGGCCATGTTTTCAGTCTTGAGAAAAATCTCCAAAGTCTCATTACTCTAATGGAGTACTATTCCAAGGAAGCCTTAGGGTAATTTTCTACTTCTTAAACTTTCAAGTATATTAGAAAACTAGATGACTAATGGGCTAGTTATTTTTTTTAAAGTATCCATTTGAAAACAAAAACTATATTTTTTGAGATAGGTAACTTATTAATTAAGAATTAGTATTGCAGAAATCTCTGAAATATAAGATGTGGCTGTAAAGCTATTTATTGGCCTTTTCATTAGTTCCATTTGCCTTATGAAAAAATCACAGTTGTAGATTCTGCTCATTTGTGTAGAGGGGAATCCTAAGGCCCAGGAATATATACCTTAAGAGTAGTGAGCATTTTCTTGTTGTCTTCTGCCCTTTCCTTTTAAAACCTCATAGTGCTGTGGTTTCAGAAGTGATTTGACTGGATGGGGCATTTGAGAAGGATAATGGTTTTGAAGAGCCTACCCAGTAGGATGGTGGATTCTAGTGTAAGAAGAGAGAGACATGTTCTTTTTCTTGCATATATTCCGTAAAACAGTAGCATCCAGATAAATGCCTTCACAGTGGGGACTTGGTGTGACTCCTTGAATGGTGAATCTTCTTTGAGGGCCTGTGAAAGCAAACTTTGGTGGCTTCTATACTTAGCTATATCTTAACAGCTCTGAAACAGAAGACTGAGTGATACTTCAGATTATCACATTTGTTCCTATATTTCCAGATTGGATGAATATTTTAAGGAGAACAATATTTTTAAAATATACTTGTTAATACTTCATTGTTTATTTTTATTCTTAATAGAATTTTGCTATCTACTGTGTATGCTTTTATTCTTACATACAATTGTCCCTCCTTATCTGTGGTTCCTGCTTCCATGGATTTCAGTTATGAATCAAAAATAATTGGAAAAAATGTATCTGTACTGAACATGCACAGACTTTTTTCTCATCATTCCCTACACAATATAGTGTAACAACTGCATTTACACTATATTAGGTATTACAGGTAGAAATGATTATAGTATATGAGAAGATGTACATAGATTCTTTGCAAATACGATTCCATTTTATTTAAGAGCCTTGAACCTCCATGGATCTTGATATCATGGAGGTGTCCTGGAACCAGTACTCCATGGATGCTAGGAATGACCTTATTGTCTCATAGTGTTTTCAGGTGAATTGGATTTGAACTGTAAAATCTGATTTATTATCTTCAAGATATTAGGTGATGTCTTGTCAATTCCTTGTTTAAAACCAAATAGAAAAGAATATTTAAAATCATTCCTGAAAATATTTTTTTACTCCAAACTTTTAAAAACCTTATTTTGTTTCAGTGATTCCAAGTCTAAGAAGTCAGTAGCTTATAATTATGCATGCATACTTATTTTGGTGGTGGTTCAGTCTTCCAGTGATGTCCAAATGCTAGAACAACATGCAGCATCTCTCTTGAAGCTTTGTAAAGCAGATGAAAATAATGCTAAATTGCAAGGTATGGTACCAGAAGTTATTTTAAGCATTTGTGATTTGTGAAAGAAAAGTCATTGCTTTATCTGGTGCTTTATCGTAGTTAAATAAAATATACTTTTTAATTTTTTGAAATTACTTTCTACAAAGGCAGTCAAGCCATAGATTTGATAAAACATTTCAATATATAAATTAAAAGCTTTGGAAGAGCTATTGGTTTTTTTTTTGAAAGTCACAAAAATTGGTGGTTAAAGTGTATAATCAAAATGGAAGAGGTTGACTTGGAATGTGGCTTAGTGGTAGAGTGCTTGCTAACATGCATGAAGCCCTGGGGTCAGTTCCTTAGTACCACATAAACAGAAAAAGCTGGAAGTGGTGCTGTGGCTCAAATGGTACAGTGCTAGCCTTGAGCAAAAAGAAGGTCAGGGACAGTGCTTAAGCCCTGAGTTCAAGCCCCAGGTCTGGCACAAAAAAAAAAGAAGGGGTGGATCTGGGGGTGTGGGGTATACAGAAGGATCCAAAGTTGAGGCTGCTGGGTGAGTAGGTAGCTTATACCTATAATGAATCTTACCTACTCTAGATCTGAGGTTCATAGGTTGAAGCCAACCTCGGCGGAGAAGTCCAAGGAACTTTTAGTTCTAATATATCACCAAAAAGTGGGCAGTGGAGCTATGGCTCTTGTGGTAAGAGGGCTAGCCTTGAGCATAAAAGCTCAGGGACAGCACCCAGGCCCTAAGTTCAATCATTAAGACAGGCTAGTTTGGGTTGCAAAGTGAGACACTGTCTTAAAAAACAAGACTAAACAAAAATATAGGCCATGTAATCCTAGCACTGGAGAGGCTGAGGCAAGAAAACCTTGAGTTCAGTTCAAGCCTATAGTTCATACCAATATACTTTCTCAAAAAAAAAAACGAAGCAGGGAAAACAAATTAACACAAATATATCCCTTTATGAAATTTAGATAATTGAAATTAATGCAAATCTAATAATGTTTTTCTTTGGAAAAATTACTTTCTTTGTTATAACAGCTTTTAGTTTTAAATATTATAGATTATTTTGTTTGTTTGTTTTTAAGAACTTGGCAAGTGGCTTGAACCTCTGAAAAACCTTAGATTTGAAATTAACTGCATACCAAACTTAATTGAATATATTAAACAGGTAAGTAAAACTTAAAAATGCTTTGATTTTATGGAACTTGTGATAATATATTAAGTCGTTTGTATTGTTAATGGCAAAATCTTGTCCTTGATTTATTAGATCATATAGGTACAAATGAAATATAGATAGTTTTGTGTTTGAAGTAGGAATAAACTTCATTTTGATGACATTTACAAAAGTATTTTAAAGTTTTATTGTGGTATTATAATATGTAACTTTCAATTAAACTTTTTTTTTTTTTGTCAGTTGTGGGGCTTGAACTCTGGGCCTGGGCGCTGTCCCTCAGCTGTTCAGCTCAAGGCAAGCCCTCTACCACTTGAGCCACAATGCCACTTCCGTTTTTCTAGTGGCTTATTGGAGATAGGAGTCTCACGGTCTTTCCTTCCTGGGCTGGCTTTGAACTGTGATCCTCAGATCTCAGCCTCCTGAGTTGCTAGGATTACAGGTGTGAACCACCAGCTCCTGGCTCAGTTAAACTTTTTTTTTTGGGGGTCCGGTCGTGGGGCCTGAACTCTGGGCCTGGGTACTGTCCCTCAGCTCTGCAGCTCAAGGCTAGCGCTCTACCACTTGAGCCACAGCGCCACTTCTGGCTTTTTTCTTTTTGCTTATGTGGTGCTGAGGAATGGAACCCAGGGCCTCATGCATGCAAGGCAAGCGCTCTACTACTGAGCCACCTTCCCAGCCCTCAGTTAAACTTTTAACTATTGGAACTCTATTTCATTCAAAATTTTTAGTTGAAAGCCAGGTGCTGGTGGCTCGTGCCTGTAATCCAAGTTACTCAGGAGACTGAGATCTGTGGATCATGGTTCAAAACAAGCCTGAGCAGGGAAGTGCATGAGACTATTTATCTCCAGTTGACCACCAGAAAACCAGAAGTGGCGCTGTGGCTCAAGTGGTAGAGTGCTTGCCTTGAGCTGAAGAGCTCAGGGACAGCAGCTAGCCCCAGAGTTCAATCCCCATGACCACCAAAAAAAAAAAAAAATTAAGTGAAAATTGATGTGTCTATTCTAGATAATCGAAGAAGGAGCTAGTTTTCTCTGGCTAATTTGAGATAGTTTATATCCTTGAAATTTATAAATTGAAATTTCTAAAAATTTATATCCTTGAAATTTATAAATTGAAATTTCTAAAAATATAAAATTCATCATGAAAATCTATAAAATTCATTACAAAAATTTATGAAGTTCTATGTAATCTATAAAATTTATTACAAAAACCTATAAAAATGTACTGATTTTGTAATAGTTTGCTGTTAAAAATTCACACTGGAAAACAATCACTCTATTATTAATCTTGAAAGTTATTTTTCTTTGCTCAAATGTAGCATATGGATATTTTAAAAGCACTCATAAGTATGCTATATAGACTTGGAATTATCTTTTTCTTTTACTTGGCAAATGAGATGTGTATATGTTTGCATCTGTGGGGGTGAGGTGGGGAACTATATTGATCTTTAAACTTCAATGTATGTTTGTAAAGGATTATATATATGTATTCTAATCTTGCTAACAGATTTTGACCTAACAACAAACAGAATATTGTTTAGATTTCTCTGTTTCATAATTTTCTGGAACTTCATTTGCCTTTTTGTTTTTTAGCACAAATATAAATATCTTGTAAATATAGGTGTTCATGAATTTATATATAGATATAGATATATTTTTTTACTGTAAAGATATTGTACAGAGGGGTTACAGTTACATGAGTAAGGTAATGAGTACATTTTCTATTGAGCATTGTTACCCCCTCCTTTGTTTTTCCCCTATCATCCCTTCCCTCCCCAGTGGTCATGAATTTTGTATACCTGTTCTTAGTAATTCTGCAGTTTGCCAATATCAAAGTGCTTGAGTAAAGATACTTAACTACTAAGAAACTTTTAGTTACAGAAATTTGAATTATATGACATGAGTTTTGATTCTTATGTCCATTTTTACTCTGTCATGGTATTATTATAAGTATCTGTACTAAAGACCGTTGCTTCAAGACTGAAACTTCACTTTTGGCTCTCTCCTGCCTTAAGTTCAGAAAAAAATTAGAGGAAAATATAAGAAATTGTTTTGTTTTTGGTGCTGGTCCTGGAGCTTGAACTCAAGCTTGGGGGGCTCTCACTGAGCTTTTTTTTGTTCAAAGCTAGTGCTCTACCACTTGAGTCACAGTTCTTACTCTAAGTAGTTTAGTGGAATCTTTTCTTTTTTGCCTAGGCTGGCTTCCAATTGCAATCTCAGCCTCCTAAGTAGCTAGGATTATAGGCATGAGCCATCAGTGCCTGGCTAATTTATTGATTTTATATTATTTAGAATGTTATTTTATGAAAGCTACAATTTAGACTATTTGTTGTTATAAATTATACCATAAGCAGACAGTAAAGACACAACCAGCTTCATTTCTTGTTTTCGTATAACCATGTCCTTGATGCTTGGTATCTCCATTTAAAAAAAGCAATCTATACTATGTGGTCCAGAAAGATTCCATGTTGCTTCTCTGAAGTTTAGTACCTACAGAGCTTTTTAAATACAGTCATTGTAGTCTGATGGGTTATTATATACTTGCAATCTTAGTTACTTAAGAAACTAATACGGGAGAACCATGAGATCAAGACCAACTGAGGAACTTTACCAAGACCCTGTGACCATTCTAGTCAGCTGCTTCATTTTGGAGAGAGAAGATGGTATAAAATGAATGAATAGGATGGGCTGGGGAATGTGGCTTAGTGGTGGAGTGCTTGTCTAGCATGCATGAAGCCCTGGGTTCAGTTCTTCAGTACCACATGAACAGAAAAAGCCAGAAGTGGCGCTGTGGCTCAAGTGGTAGAGTGCTAGCCTTGAGCAAAAGAAGCTCAGGGACAGTGCCCAGTCTCTGAGTCAAGACCCAGTACTGGCCCCCCCCTAAAAAAAAAGGATGTATAGGAAAAATTTATTTTAAATTCTTTTTTTGAGAGTACTGAGGATTGGACTTGGGGCTTGTCAGGCACTGTACCACCTGAGCCATGCCTCTAAGAGTCCCTTTTTACATTGATTTTTTTTTTTTTTAATAGGGCTTCCATTTATGTCTAGGCAGGCCTGAACTGTGATTCTTCTACTTGTTCCGTTTACCAGTGGCAATGATAGGCATATACCACTATGCCATTTTTTTTTTGGGGGTCCTGTCGTGGGGCCTGAACTCTGATCCTGGGCGCTATCCCTCAGCTCTTCAGCTCAAGGCTAGCGCTCTACCACTTGAGCCACAGCGCCACTTCCGGCTTTTTTTTTTTTTGCTTATGTGGTACTGAGGAATCAAACCCAGGGCCTCATGCATGCAAGGCAAGCACTCTATCACTGAGCCACCTTCCCAGCCCACCTCTATGCCATTGAGAGGGATGGAGTGTGATGACCTTTTATGTCTGGGCTAGCCTTGAACTGTGATCTCTGATTTCTGTCTTTGCAGTAGGTAGAATTACAGGCTTGAGCTACTATATCCAGCCCATTTTAACCTCTTAATACAGAGTACCATACATTTCTGTTATCATTGTTTCAGTCAATACATTAAATACATTTGTATAATTCTTTTTATCTACATGATGCCACACATCGTATAGAAACCTGAATTTTTATTTTATTTTATTTTTTTGTCCCTCATGGGGCCTGAACACTGGGCCTGAGCTCTGTCCCTCAGTTCTTCAGCTCAAGGCTAGTGCTCTACCACTTGAGCCACAGCACCACTCCCGGCTTTTTCTGCTTATGTGGTGCTAAGGAATCGAACCCAGGACCTCATGCATGCAAGGCAAGCACTTTACCACTGAGCCACCTTCCCAGCCCCACACATCGTACAAAATAATTTTCATAAGCTTCTCTAGCTCTAGAGCTTTACTTGTGTTTAAATTTACTGAAAATATAAAATATTGTGTGTTCTGAAAGTTTCATTTTCTTTTTTGGTTCTGGGAATTGGAAGATCATATTCTGTGGACACGCATGTGTGTGCACACACACATGTTTGTGGGTGCACGTTTGTGTTCTGTCCTAGGGCTTGAACTTAGGGCTTGGGTGCTGTCCCTAAGCTTTTTTTGCTCAAGGCTAGTGCTCTTTCCACTTGAGCCACAGCTTTACTTCTGGCTTTTTCTCAGTAGTTTATTAGTTTATTTGAGGTGAGGGTTGCATGGACTTCCTACCCATGCTGGTTTTGAACTGTGATCCTTAGATCTCAGCTTTCTGAGTAGCTAGAATTACAGGTATAAGCCATCAGTGTTGGTGGTGGTGGTGGGGCTTGAACTCTGGGTCTGGGTGCTGTCCCTTAGCTCTTCAGCTCGAGGCTAGCATTCTGTCAATTGAGCCACAGTGCCACTTGTGGTTTTTTGGTGGTTAATTAGAAATAATAGTCTCACTGCCTTCCCTGCCCAGGCAGGCTTTGAACCACAGTACTCAGATCTCAGCCTCTTGAGTAGCTAGGATTATAGGCATGAGCCACTGGTATCTGGCTGGAAGATCATATTCTTTTTTTGTTGGTCGTGGGGCTTGAACTCTGGGCCTGGGTGCTGGCCGGAGCTCTTCATCTCAAGGCAAGCACTCTTACCACTTGGGCCATAGCACCACTTCTGGAAGATCATATTCTTCTTTTTGGGGGGGGGGTCCGGTCATGGGGCCTGAACTCTGGGCTTGAGTGCTGTCCCTCAGCTCTTCAGCTCAAGGCTATAGCGTTCTACCACTTGAGCCACAGCGCCACTTCCGGTTTTTTGCTTTTTGCTTATGTGGTGCTGAGGAATCGAACCCAGGGCCTCAGGCATACAAGGCAAGCATTCTACCACTGAGCCAACTTCCCAGCCCTGGAAGATCATATTCTTAACCCTGTGATGCCACTCATTGTAATAGGAAATGAGAAATTAAGGTTTCTGTTTATTTTTATTTTTTATTTATTTACTGTTTCAGATATCATTAGTTATATAGGGAGGTTTTATTATGACATTTCCATACAGGTATAGGGTACTTTGACCGTATTCACCATCCTCATTTACTCTTCATATTTGTTCTCTTGCTGATACCAACCCCACAACAGAACCTATTTTATTCTATTTTTTTTTTTTTTGGTCATGGGGCTTGAACCTCAGTGCTTAGGTGCTGTCCTTGAGTGTTTTCACTCAAAACTAGTGCTCTACCACTTTGAGCCACAGTGCCGCTTCTGGTTTTCTGGAGGTAAGAGTCTCACGGACTTGCTTGCCTAGGCTGCCTTTGAACTATGATCCTTAGATTTCAGCCTCCAAGTAGCTAGGATTATAAGCATGAGCCACTAGTCCCCAGCACTGTGTGTGTATGTGTGTGTGTGTTAAGGATACCACAGGATTTTGACATGGTATTTCACACGTGCATATATTAATCAGCATAATTCTCTATTCTGTCCATTTTTATTTTAAAGAATATTGATAACTTGATGACTGCAGAAGGGGTTGGCCTTACCACTGCCCTACGTGTTCTTTGTAATGTGGCGTGTCCACCACCTCCTGTTGAAGGTAATGTTAGTAATATGCTTCAAAATCTCCTATTCTTTAAGACTAGAGTGCATATCATTTACTAAATATTCAAAATTCGTGACTGATTTTTTAATATTTAAGTAATTAGGTTTTTCTTCTTCTCCCTATTATGAAGGTCAACAGAAAGACCTGAAATGGAATCTTGCTGTTATTCAGCTTTTTTCTGCTGAAGGAATGGACACCTTTATTCGGGTTCTGCAAAAATTGAACAGTATTTTGACTCAGCCTTGGAGGCTCCATGTCAACATGGGGACTACCCTTCACAGAGTTACTACTATTTCAATGGCTCGCTGCACACTCACTCTTCTTAAAACTATGTTGACGGAACTCTTGAGAGGTGGCTCCTTTGAGTTCAAGGACATGCGTGTTCCTTCAGCACTTGTTACTTTACACATGCTCCTGTGCTCTATCCCCCTCTCAGGTCGTTTGGATAGTGATGAGCAGAAAATTCAAAATGATATAATTGATATTTTACTGACTTTTACACAAGGAGTTAATGAAAAACTTACGATTTCAGAAGAGACTCTGGCCAATAATACGTGGTCTTTAATGCTAAAAGAAGTTCTTTCTTCAATCTTGAAGGTTCCTGAGGGATTTTTTTCTGGACTCATACTCCTTTCAGAGCTGCTGCCTCTTCCTTTGCCAATGCAAACAACTCAGGTATCACTTCTGTATAACATGCATCTTATAAATGACTGCAGTAACACTTTTAATAAAGCCATTGATTTTTGTTAAAAAACAAAGCAAACCCTCATTCTTCCTCCCCCCTTTCCCCCCCGAAAAAGACATAACATAACTGAATGAGGATGAGATAAAACTGAAGCAAGATGGTCATTCAGGAAATACGGGGGGTAACATAAATTTTTGTCAAAGTGAGTTTTATTATGCTGTTATGTATACTTGTACTTATATTTTTCTGTTATTTCAAATCTTCTGCCCCCTCTCTTTATTATGTTATAGAATTTACCAATAACTATTGCCTCATTAATGTACTCTGTTCAACTGACTGCTAACCTGAGAACAATAAGATTTTTTTAGAATTATTGAATTCAAACAATGTTTAATTGTGTAATAGAAAACTAAATGTTTTAGGCATGTAGTAAAAATGTTCATTTCTTAACAGTTCTTCCTGGTCAATTTTTATGACTATAAATAAAAATTAAAAACCTATGTACACACACATTATACTTTTTTAACAGGTTATTGAGCCACATGATATATCAGTGGCACTCAACACCCGAAAATTGTGGAGCATGCACCTTCATGTCCAAGCAAAGTTGCTCCAAGAGATAGTTCGTTCTTTCTCTGGCACAACCTGCCAGCCCATTCAACATATGCTACGGCGTATTTGTGTTCAGTTATGTGACCTTGCCTCACCTACTGCACTTCTGATTATGAGAACTGTGTTGGATTTGATTGTAGAAGACTTGCAAAGGTATTTTCATTTTGCCATGGAATTTTTTCCTCAAGTTATTCTCGACACCGATATACATTTTTTTTCTTATATCAGGGTTTAGAATGAGTATATAACACATCCATGTAAATGTATGTGAATGGTTTAAAACTGGAAATTAGTTGTTTTATTATTGCAAGCATATACATGTAATGATAAAGATTTGGAAAGGTGAACAATACTGGGCTTGGGGTGACTCAAGTGGTAAAGTGCTTGGGAAGAATGAAGTCTTGAGTTTAAACCCTAGTTCTTGCCAAAAAAAAAGAAAAGGAAGATTAACTATGGAAAAGTAAATATTAAGAAAATATTAGGGCTGGAAAAGTGGCTTAGTGGTAGAGTGCTTGTCTTGCATGTATGAGGCCATGAGTTTGATTCCTCAGTACCACACAAGCAGAAAAAGCTGGAAGTGGTGCTGTAGCTCAAATGGTAGAGCCCTAGCCGTTAGCTGAAGAACTGGGGGAGAGTTCCCAAGCCCAGAGTTTAGGCCTCACAACCAACCAAAAAAAAAAATAAGAAAATATATTATTAAAAACTTGGACTTATAAAATTTTAGAGTCATGGTAAAATTCTAGAAAACTAAGCCAGGTGTTGGTGGCTCATGCCTGTGATCCCGGCTATTTAGGCTGAGATCTGAGAGGACTGTAGTTCAAAGTCAGCCCAGGCATGAAAGTTTATGAGACCCTTATCTCCAGTTAAACATCAGAAAACCAGAAGTGGAGCTCTGGCACAAGTGGTAGAGCACTGGCCTTGAGCAAAAGATCTCAGGGACAGTGCCCAGACCCTAAGTTCAAGCCCCACTGCTGACAAAAAAATTCTAGAAAACTATCATATCCAAGAATGAAATGTTTGATACAAAATTTGTGTAAATTGATAATGTATAGAAAAATAAGTATTAAATAGTGCCTTTAAAATCAAGAACTTGTTTACTAAATATGTTAATTTTATTCCAGCACTTCAGAAGATAAAGAAAAACAGTATACTAGCCAAACCACAAGATTGCTTGCTCTTCTTGATGCTCTGGCTTCACATAAAGCTTGTAAATTAGCTATTTTGCACCTAATTAATGGAACTATTAAAGGTGATGAAAGATATGCAGAAATATTCCAAGATCTTTTAGCTTTGGTGCGGTCTCCTGGAGACAGTGTTATTCGACAACAGTGTGTTGAATATATCACATCTATTTTGCAGTCTCTCTGTGATCAGGTATTTCTTTATAATTATTTACAAAGTTAGTGTATGTATGTATGTTTTAAAGCTCTTGCTATACATTTTGGTTGTGAACAAGGAGATGTCACCTATATTTTATTAGTCCTACTATTGTTTAGGAACATAAATTTGATAAGTGAAGCAACAGTAAAATGATTTGTCGTTTCATAGCTTTTTGGGTTATTTCATGGGTTTCTCTGAAGAGCTTTTTTCTTACCCTTTGTAATGTTGCAGTTTTGGACAATTGCTTTTTAAAAAAATTTTATTGTAAAGATGCTGTGCAGAGGGGCTGGATAAGTGCTTTTATAACACTGTTTCAACATTTTAAGGATGGTTAATGTCTATACCAATTACATTATATACCAAGTCATTCTTGAATTTTATGGCTTTGTTATTGAGTTAAATTATTTTGCCTTATTTGGACAACTCCTCCTCCTCCACTTCCTCCTCATTATTATTATTATTATTGCCAGTCCTGGGGCTTGAACTCAGGGCCTGGGCATTGTCCCTGAGCTTCTTTTGCTCATGGCTATCTACCACTTGGGCCACAGTGCTACTTCTGGCTCTTTCTATTTATGTGGTACTGAGGAATCAAATCCAGGGCTTCATGCATGTTAGCCAACATTCTATCACTAAGCCACGTTCCCAGCTGCTAGGACAACTTTTAAAGGCATTGAGAATTAGTGCATTGTTCACAAGATAACAACATTAATTTTAAAAGCCAAATGTAATTGGAATTTTTTTTAGTGCTGAAGTTTGAACTCAGATTCTTGGACTTATCAGGCAGTTACTCTACCACTTGAGTCATGTCACCCTAGCCATTTTGCTTCAGGTATTTTTTGAATAGTTATTTTTCAAATAGGTTTGCGCCTTGATCCTCTGTTTACACTTCCCGAATAGTTGAAATGAGGGACACTCACCACCACATCTAACTATTTGTTGAGATTGGTTCTTCTGAACTTTTTTTTTTTTGGGGTCCGGTTGTGGGGCCCGAACTCTGGGCCTGGGCACTGTCCCTCAGCTCTTCAGCTCAAGGCTAGCGCTCTACCACTTGAGCCACAGCGCCACTTCTGGCTTTTTCTATTTATGTGGTACTGAGGAATCAAATCCAGGGCTTCATGCATGTTAGCCAACATTCTATCACTAAGCCACGTTCCCAGCTGCTAGGACAACTTTTAAAGGCATTGAGAATTAGTGCATTGTTCACAAGATAACAACATTAATTTTAAAAGCCAAATGTAATTGGAATTTTTTTTAGTGCTGAAGTTTGAACTCAGATTCTTGGACTTATCAGGCAGTTACTCTACCACTTGAGTCATGTCACCCTAGCCATTTTGCTTCAGGTATTTTTTGAATAGTTATTTTTCAAATAGGTTTGCGCCTTGATCCTCTGTTTACACTTCCCGAATAGTTGAAATGAGGGACACTCACCACCACATCTAACTATTTGTTGAGATTGGTTCTTCTGTATTTTTTTTTTTTTGGGTCCGGTTGTGGGGCCCGAACTCTGGGCCTGGGCACTGTCCCTCAGCTCTTCAGCTCAAGGCTAGCACTCTACCACTTGAGCCACAGCGCCACTTCCGGCTTTTTTCTTTTTGCTTATGTGGTGCTGAGGAATCGAACCCACGGCCTCAGGCATGCAAGGCAAGCACTCTACCACTGAGCCACCTTCCCAGCCCCCTAGATAGAATTCTTATGCTAACTGATTATCAGATTTTTTTATTCAGGTTGAACTTTTTTAATATAGTTTTATATATAATTTTATATTGTTTTAAATGTAATTTTATTGTTATTATTAAGGTGTTACATTATTATTATTAAGGTGACCATTTCTTAAGCCAGATAATATCATACTGAATGTTTTTAATAAAGTTTAATGTTGGAAAGCAAAAATCCAACTTGGTTATGTTTAAGACTTAAGTCAAGCCTGGCACTAATTGTTCACTTCTATAACCCTAGTTACTCAGGAGGCTGATATCTAAAGGTGGAAGTTAAAAAACATCCTGGGTAAACAAATCCATGAGACTCTTATATCCAGTTAGCAAGCAAAAAAATGAAATAGAGGTATGGCTCAAGTGGTAGAGTAACAACTGTAAGAGGAAAAAGCCAAGCAAGAGCTTTAGGCTTTGAGTTCATGCCCTGTTCATGTCTGTGTGCGCACGAGCTTGCGTGCATGTGCACATCCACGTGTGCTTTGAGTTCATGCCCTTGTTCCTGTGTGTGTGTGTGTGTGTGTGTGTGTGTTTATCTTTTATTTATTTTTTGTCATTCATGCCCTTGTTCCAGTGTGTGTGTGTGTGTGTGTGTGTGTGTGTTTATCTTTTATTTATTTTTTGTCAGTCATGGGGCTTGAACTCGGCCTGAGTGCTGCCCCTGAGCATTTTAGGCTAGCTCTCTACCACTTCGAGCCATAGCACCACTTCTGTTTATGTGGTACTGAGGAATTGAACCCAGGGCTTCATGCATGCTAGGCAAGCACTCTACCACTAAGCCACACTCCCAACCCTGAGGAGAATATTTAATTGAATGATTGCTCTTAAGTCTTCATGAACTTTACCCATTCCTACACCCTTGCCCCTTTTTCGTTTGATGTTGACAGTAGGCTTGATCTCAGGGCTGAGCACTCTTGCTTGGCTTTTTTGATCAAAACTGGTGCTCTTCCACTTCACTTCCAGTTTTTTGTGGATTAATTGGAGACAGAGTCTCATGGACTTCTGTGCCCAGGCTGGCAGATCTCAGCCTCCTGAATATCTAGGATTAAAATGTGAGCCACCAGTGCCTGTTTTTTTTTTTCCATCCATTTTTTAATGAATTTTACATTTCAGTATTGATGTTTAAATTAAAAAATTTCTCTATATTATAATATAATTTTTATTTCTAATATAATTAATATTTTCTGTATAAATTAACATTTTTCTGTATATACCAGAATTCAGTGATTTGAAATATTTTGGTACTAAAAGTAAGTTTTAGCCATTTGAAATTACACTCCAGTAAAGTACATATGGAAAATATATATTTTAAGTGTTTTTTTAAAATTTTTTTATTATAACGATGATGTATAGAGTATTACAGTTATATATAAGTCAGGTAGTAAGTAAAATATTTTTATAAAGAATTCCTTAAGAGTAAAATTTTATAAAGTATGTCTTTTTTTAGGTGTTTCGTTTTTTTTTTTTTTTTTTTTGCCAGTCCTGAGGCTCGAATTCAGGTCCTGGGCATTGTCCCTGAACTTCTTTCGCTCAAGGCTAGCGCTCTACCACTTGAGCCACAGCACCCTTCCAGCTTTTTGTGTTTATATAGTACTGAGGAATCAAACCCAGGGTTTCTTTCATACATGCTAGGCAAGCACTTGACCACTAAGCTGCATTCCTAGTCCCTAGGTAGGCTTTCTTATATTAACTTACAAAAGGCCAAAGCAACTCCTTTATTCTTAACATGTTTGAGTTTTGATATATTTGCTCTTGGTCTATATGTTATGGGACTATAAAAACAATATTTTAATGAAATGATTAAATATTTTTTGCTGTGTACTTCTGAACCAATAGTGCTAAATGATGGTGATGTCTATTTAGAAAATTTATTTTTTGTCTGCCCCTTCCTTCCTCCACAGGACATTGCCCTTATTTTGCCAACTTCTTCTGAAGGTTCTATTTCTGAACTGGAGCAACTCTCCAATTCTCTACCAAACAAAGAATTGATGTCCTCAATCTGTGACTGTCTCTTGGCTACCTTAGCTAACTCTGAAAGCAGTTATAACTGTTTATTGACATGTGTTAGAACAATGATGTTTCTTGCAGAGCATGATTATGGATTATTTCATTTAAAAAGGTAAGACTTTGTCCCCTTTAATGTCTTATTATATTTAAATTTTTACTGACATTCATTCTCCCAAATCAGTTAATTTCTACCTGTTGTGAAGGGTTAAATGTATAATTTCTTCTACGGGAATTTTTTTTGTGTATATGTATTCATTACAGTACTAGTAATGGACTTACTTTTAATTGGTGAGCAGTATTATAGCATTCTGAATTGTTTCTAAATTTTAGTAGTTATGGATAAAGCCTTGCACACAGCTTTTTGTCTAAACCTTAGTTTTTATTGCTCTATTCCTCTAAGGTAGCTGTCTCTGAGTGAAATTATTGTGTCCTATGATAGATGTACATTTAACCTTAATAAGAAACTGTAAAAATGTTTTACAAAGTGGATATACCATTTTGCATTTGCATCTAATGCATTGCAGTGCAATAGAGTTGGTTATCTTTTTTCTTTTTTTGGTTGTGGGGTTTGAACTCTGGGCCTGGGCACTGGCCCTTTAGCTTTTCAGCTCAAAGAGAGCACTTTACCATTTGAGCCATAGTGCCAGTTCCAGTTTTCTGGTGGTTAATTGGAGATAAGAGTCTCATGTACTTTCCTGCTTGGCGATGGCTTTGAACTGTGATCCTCAGATCTCAGCTTCCTGAGTAGCTAGGATTATAGGCGTGAGCCACGGGCATCCAGCTCATTGGCACACTTCTAGGGTTTTGGTCCTCTCCCCCCCCCCCGCCCCTCCCCCCCAGTCCTGGGATTTAAACTCAGGGCATGGGTGCTGTCTGAGCATTTTTGCTTTACCACTAGAGCCATAAAGTCCACTTTTATCTTTCTTGGTGCTTAATTGGAGATAAGAGTCTTAAGAATTTTTTTTGCCTGGATTGCCTAGAGCCACAATCCTCAGGTATCAGCCTCCTGAGTAGGCTTGAGCCACTGTCATTTGGCTAGGGTGCGTGTGAGTGAGTGAGTGAGTGTGTGTGTGTGTGTGTGTGTGTGTGTGTGTGTGTATTTTTGGTTTGAGATTTTTCTTTTTTTAAAATTTTTATTTTTTATTGTGAAAATACTGTACAGAGGGGTTACAATCACATGGGCAAGATAATGAGTACATTTCTTATCAAGCATTGTAGCCTCCTCCTTTGTTTCTCCTTCCCATCCTCCTCCCGTCCCCCCACCCAATCCTCCCCGTCCCCCCCCCCAAAGTTGTAAAGTTCATTTTCAACATAACGACTTGTACATTTCATTGTTGCAATGGGTCCACCTGTATCCCTATTTAAACGACTTGTTTTTCCCCTTCCCCTCCACAAATTATACCGACATCAAATACAGTGAAAGCACAGGTTATACTGTGGGGGAGGGGTTCGTTTGTGATTTTTCTGTATTGTCTAGTTTGGCCTTGAATTCATGATCTCAAGCAAGTCCTTCCTTTTAGCCTCCCAAGTAGCTGAGACTACAGGCTGGAACTACAGGCATGCAGGCATCTAGGTTCTTGCACATGTTAGTGCTTTATCACTAAGCATTGGCCTCCTATGGACTTTGTGTTTAAATAGGCCTTGGAAGAATAGTCTACTTTCTTAAGATTTTGTTGTTGTTGTTGTTGTTTGTCATGGGGCCTGAACTCTGGGCCTGGGTGCTGTCCCTCAGCTCTTCAGCTCAAGGCTAGCACTCTACCACTTAAGTGAGCCACAGCACCACTTCCAGCTTTTTCTGCTTATGCAGTGCTGAGGAATCGAAACCAGGGCCTCATGCATGCAAGGCAAGCACTCTACCACTGAGCCACCTTCCCAGCCCCCCTTTCTTAAGATATTATGCCATGTCTAAACATTGGTATAGTCTAATTTTGGACCCTTTGTCTATTCATTAACATAATTTTCCTTTATATGTAGTCTTTTTCCTGTTTCTTGTGCCATTCCATTTCAATATGCTATAGAGTTCTCACAAACAGCAATTGAATCTTTCTGCTTTTATTTTGCCTTTTTTGTAGTCTTGTATGATGGCATCTTAGACTCTGTTATTTTCCAAATGTAAATACTGCATGTCTAGCATTAATGTCATACTTATTACTGTTTTGGCTATTATATCTTATAAGATATAACTAGAATAGTTTGCCCTTTAAATTCTGTTGATCAACTGAGAACTATATAAATGATGGAACAAGCCAGGTACTCACAACTCATGCCCAGAATCCTAGCTACTCAGGAGACTGAGATCTGAGGATCATGGTTTAAAGCCAGCTTTGTCAGGAAAGTCCACAAGACTCTTAAATCCAATTAACCACTAGAAAATCAGAAGTGACATTGTGGCTCAAAGTGGTAGATATCTAGCCTTGAGTGAAAGAGCTCAGGGATAGTGCCTAAGTCCCAAGTTCAAACATGAGGACTGACATGAGCACATGCACCCCTACCTCTCCCCCACACCAGTAAAAAAATTAAACCGAAGGCTGGGAAGATGGCTCAGTGATAGAGTGCTGGCCTTGCATGTAGGAGGCCCTGGATTTGATTCCTCAGCACCACATAAGCAGAAAAACCTGGAAGTGGTGCAGTGGCTCAAGTGGTAGAGCACTAGCTTTGAGCTGAAGAGCTGAGGGACAGCACCCAGGCCCAGAGTTCAGGGCCCACGACAAGCAAAAAAAAAAAAAAAAAATTAAACTGGATACTAGTGGCTCACGTATGTAGTCTTAACTACTCAGGAGGCCGAATCCTGATTCTAAGCCAGCCTGGGAAGAATAGTTTGTGAGATTCTTATCTATAATTAACCACCAAAAAATGTAAGGGGAAGGTAAGAAGTGGCGGAGTGGCAGAATATTTCTTTGTTAAATTGTGTACACGGACATACCAAAAAGTTGTTTGTTTGTCTTTTTTGGTCAGTCATGGGGCTTGAACTCTGGGCCTGAGTGCTGTCCCTCAGCTCTTCAGCTCAAGGCAAGCACTCTACCACTTGAGCCACAGTGCCACTTCTGGTTTTCTGAGTGGTTTATTGGAGATAAGAGTTTCACCGACTTTCCTGTCCTGGCTAGCTTTGAACTATAATCCTCAGATCTCAGCCTCCTGAGTAGCTAGGATTACAGGTGTGAGCCACTGGTGCTTTTTTGCATTTTTTAAATGATGAAATTTGTCTGAATTTACATAGTTCATTTCTCATACTATTTTTTTTTTTTTTTGCCAATTCTGGGCTTGAACTCTGGGCCTGGGCACAGTCGCTAGCACTCTACCACTTGAGCCACAGTGCCAGTTCTAGCCTTTTCTGTGTGTATGGTACTGAGGACTCAAAGCCAGGGCTTCATGCATGCAAGGCAAGCACTCTACCACATTCCTAGCCCTTTCATACTATCATATATATATATATATATATATATATATATATATATATATATATATATATATATTGGCTGGTCCTGGGGCTTGAACTCTGAGCTTGGGCACTGTCCCTGGGCTGCTTTTTGCTCAAGGCTAGCGCTATACCACTTGAGCCACAGCACTACTTCTGGCTTTTTGTGTAGTTTATTGGAGATAAGAGTCTCATGGAGTGCCTGCCTAGCATGCATGAAGCCCTGGGTTCAATTCCTCAGTACCACATAAAGAGAAAAAGCCAGAAGTGGCTTTGTGGCTCAAGTGGTAGAGTGCTAGCTTTGAGCAAAAAAAGCTCAGAGACAGTGCTTACACCCTGAGTTCTGAGTTCAAACCCCAGATCTGACCAAAAATAAAAAAATCTTGTGGAGTTTCTTCTCCGGGCTGCCTTTGAACCGTAATCCTCACATCTCAGTCTCCTGAATAGCTAGGATTATAGGCATGAGCCACTGGCACCCGGGCTTCATACTGTCTTTATATGCTCATATTTCAACACAGTATTTCCTCTCTATTTACAGTTCTTTAAGGAAAAACAGTAGTGCTCTCCATAGTTTACTGAAACGAGTGATCAGCACATTTAGTAAGGACACAGGAGAACTTGCATCTTCTTTTTTGGAATTTATGAGACAAATTCTTAATTCTGACACAATGGTAAGTGTACATATATACATATGTATTCATATTTGGTATTTTTTAATTCTGTAAACTTGGTCATGAGTTAAAAAAACCTCATTGTTTCAAAAATATCTTAAAACTTAAAAGTAGTGATTCTTTTTTTCTCTTCTCTCTTCCTATTATAAATAGCGCGTTATGATTTCTCTTTTATTTGTTGTTGATTTTGTTGTTTTTCTCCAGTCATGGACTTGAACTCTGGGCCTGAGCATTGGCCCTAGCTTTTGTGTTCAGGGCTAACGCTCTACCACTTGAGCCACAGCCCCCTCCCTTCTGGCTTTTTGTGGTTAGTTGGAGATAAGAGTCTCCTGGACTTTTCTGCCCAAGCTGGCTTTGAACCACAATCCTCCTAAGTAGGTAGGATTACAGGCGTGAGCAGACAGTACGCAGCTTAGTGTGCAGCTTTTTTTTTTTTTTTTTGGTTGGTCATGGGTCTTGAACTCTGGGCCTGGGGGTTGTCCCTGAGCTCTTCAGCTCAAGGCTAGCCCTCTATCACTTGAGCCATAGCACCACTTCCAGTTTTCTGTGGTTAATTGGAGATTCTTAAGAGTCTCATGGGCTTTCCTGCTTGGGCTGGTTTGAACCTTGATCCTCAGGTCTCAGCCTCCTGGTAGTGAGGATTACAGGCATGAACCACTGGCACCTGGCCCATTTTTTTTTTTTTTTTTTTGGAGTCTCACTATATAGTCAAGTTGGCTTCAAACTTACTATGTAGCCTAAACTGTCTTCAGACTCAAATCATCTTGCCTTAGCCTATGAGTGCTGGGATTGAAAATGGATAGCAGCAGCACCTGAGACTGATTTTTTTTTTAAGATATTTAAGGTTATAATATATTGAAATCTTCTTTAGTTAGTAGGCATTGTTAATTTGAGAATAACCAATTATTTTGCAACAGAGGAAAATACTACATACACTCTTCTTTTACAGTGATTCTTGACATTGAATTATCTTGCTAGCATAATTCAGAATAGTAAATTACTTAAATACTTAAGAGTTTTTTAGTCTCTTAAAGTATTTCTTCATTGTCATGTAATTAAGTGTATGCTGATTCAGTTTTGGAAATTGTTACTTTTTGGGTGACTGTAAGTTTAGAGTATCTTGGCTCCATGTAATATATGAATTAAAGGCTATTCAACCAGGTGCCAGTGGCTCATGCCTGTAATCCTAGCTACTCAGGAGGCTGAGATCTGAGGATCATGGTTCAAAGCCAACTTGGGCAGGAAAGTCCATGAGACTCTTTATCTCCAATAAACTACTCTGAAAAGTTGAAAGTGGCACTCTGGCTTAAGTGGTAGAGTGCTAGACTTGAGCACAAAGAAGCTCAGGGATAGCGCCCAGGCCCTGAGTTCAAGCTCCAGGACTGGGGAGAAGAAAAAAAAGACTATTCAGAGGCACCTGGGCTACCTAGCAAGAATCTGTCAAAGTGAGAGAGAGAGAGAGAAAGAGAGAGAGAGAGAGAGAGATCTATTTCACTTACTCTAAAATTGTTAACACTTAAGATTCCTCTTGTTAACATTTTCCAAAATCAAAGTATACTATGGACCCAGTACCAGAAACCATTGATGGGAATATCTTTAGAAAATATTTGGTATCAAGTAAGTTTGAACGTATTTCTCCTGATAGAACTTAAATATACTGACTAGTATATAATTAAAAATTCTTAAGTGGTGCAGAGTATTTTTTTTGCAGCGTAATCTAGTCTCTTCTAAATGTATTGCCAGTGAAATGTGTGTGTTTGTATATCTTATGAATAAGTATGTATTTGGGTTGAAGAAATTCATCATGCTGGTCACTGGTCATGCTGGTCGCCGGTGGCACATGCCTATAATTCTAGCCACTCAGGAGGCTGAGATCTGAGTATTGTGGTTCAAAGCCAACCGGGACAGGGAAGTCCATGAGACTCTTACCTCCAATAAACCACCAGAAAACCAGAAACGGTGCTGTGACTCAAGTGGTAGAGCGCTAGCCTTGAGCTGAAGAGCTGAGAGACAGCAGCCAGGCCCAGAGTTCAAGCCCCACGAGGTACAGGCTTACCAAGTGGTCATAATGTGGGATTTCATAAGAAAAATGTAAAGTTATTATTTAGATTTTTTCTTATTTGTAGAATGTATATAGAGACTGCTTAGTAAGCCTTTCTTAGTTTGCTATCATATTTGTATTGTCTGGCCATTTTTTTGTTCTCAATTTGAACTTGAGACTTCATATTCATGCTCTTGTAGCCTGTGCTATATACCATTTGGACCGCACACTCCAGGTCAGCATTTTCTGATTAATTGGAGATGGAGTCATACAGGCTTTTCTGCCTGGGCTGGTGGCTTCCATGATCCTTTAGGTTTCAACCTCCTGAGTAGCTAAGGAGGCATGAGCCAGTGCTGCATCCCTCCCAGCACCATCTTGCTAGTTTTTTTGTTTTGTTTTGTTTTGTTGGTCATGGGGCTTGAACTCTGGGTCTGGGTACTGGCTACTGTTCCTGAGCTTTTCAGCTCAAGCCAAGTACTCTGCTACTTTGAGCCACAACACTACTTCTGGTTTTCTGGTGGTTAATTGGAGAAAAGAGTCTCATGGAGTTTCCTGCCCGGCCTTGCTTTGAACCACAGTCCTCAGATCTCAGCCTCCTGAGTAGCTAGGATTACAGACGGGAGTCATCAGCACATGGGACCTTGCTAGTTTTATTGGCAAGTGATCACACTAGATCTTAGACAAAAGGCTGAGATGTGATTATTGAAAAATTTATTGATTGTGTCATGCCTTGCTTATTAATGTTATTATTTATCAGAGGTTTTATTTTGGGAAGATTGGCATATTTAACAGGAGAGTTGTAGTTTTTTTTTCTTTTTGCTAGTCCTGGGACTTGAACTCAAGTCCTGGGCACTGTCTCTGAGCTTCTCTATGCTCAAGGCTAGCTCTTTACCACTTGAACCACAGCGCCACTTACGGCTTTTTCTGTTTACGTGGTATTGAGGAATTAAACCCTGTGCCTCATGCATGTTAGGCAAGCACTCTACCACTAAGCCACCTTTCCCAGCCCCGAGCTATAGCTATTTTAAAGATGTCGTAGAATTTTGCTTGCTGGAAGAATATTTCACTAGATTCTAGGCAATATTAACAATGTTTTGACAGATTTTTATTACACATTATCAACTAAACACTTTCTGACCAAAACCTACTAACTAGTATTCATTCATATTATCCACCATTTGCTTACTTTAGCCCCCTCAATTGCTAATTAATATTTTATTTATAACTCATCAGTTTATTTCCCTTTTCTCAACACCTTCATTGAGAAGATTAAAGCAATCTGGTTATTTCAGAAATCTTTGATTTTCCATCAGTCTTTCCTTATTCTTTGTAATCTGCTTTTCTCCATAATCAGAGAAAAATTGTCCCTGCATCACTTCATTTCTGTATATAAGCTAGATCTTGTAATAATTTTTCTGATTGCTTTTTTTTTAACCAATCTTTATGTCTCTAGCTATCCATCTGCCTGGTATATAGAAACTCTTGAATATCCAATGCAAAATTTAGTATCTTTCCAATAAACATAATTGTAGCTGATGGCATGAGCAATCAGGCCTGGCATTCTTTCTCCTTATTTTTTTCCCGCTGGTCCTGGGGCTTGAACTCTGGGCCTGGGCACTGTCCCTCAGCTCTTCATCTCAAGGCTACTACCACTTGAGCCACAGTGCCACTTCTGGCTTTTTCTGCCTATGTGGTGCTGAGGAATCGAACCCAGAGCCTCATGCATGCAAGGCAAGCACTCTACCACTGAGCCACCTTCTCAACCCCTCTTTCTCCGTTTTTAAGTGCTGTTCCTAGGGCTTAAAGTCAGGGCCTGAATGCTGTAGCTAAGCTTCTTTTTGCTCAAGGCTAGTGGTCAACTACTTGAACCACAGATTTGCTTCCATTTTTTTCAGAGTAGTTTATTGGAGATAAGAGTCTCTGAGACTTTCTTACCTGTGCTGGCTTCCAACCATGATCCTCAGATCTCAGCCTCCAAAGTAGCTAGGATTACAGGCTATTAGCTTGGCTTTCTCCTTTTTCAATAACATTTTTGTTGTTGGTGGTGGTGGTAATGGGGCTTGAACTGAGGACTTGGACACTGTCCCAAAGCTTTGTCACAAATGCTTTTACCACTTTGAGCCACAGTGGCACTCCTGGTTTTCTGGTGGCTAATTGGAGTTAAGAGTTTCATGGACTTTCCTGCCCAGGCTGGCTTCAAACTGCCATCTTCAGATATCAGCTTCCTGAGTAGCTACGATTACAGGCATGAGCCACTGACACCTAGTTAAGTGGATGAACTTTTATCAAATGCTTCTGTTCTGAGTTGGTTGAGATAATCATGGGTTTTCTCCATGCAATAAATGACTCTTATACTCCTGGGATAAATGCATCTTGATTCTGGTGTATGATCATTTGTGTTTCCAGATGCTATTTGCTTAATGTTATTTAGTATTTTATTTTATTTATTTTTTATGTTTTTGTTGGTTGTGGGGCCTGAATTCTGGACCTGGGCACTGTCCCTCAGCTCTTCAGCTCAAGGCTAGTGCTCTACCACTTGAGCCACAGCTCTATTTCCAGCTTTTTCTGCTTATGTGGTGCTGAGGAATCGAACCCAGGGCCTCATGCATGCAAGACAAGCACTCTACCACTAAGCCAGCCATGTTCCCAGCTCATTTAAGTATTTTTATTTCTGTATTTATAAAGAATTTTGATCTATAACTTTGTTGTTTTTAAGAAGTTTTCTGTAAGTACTTAATATAAAGGGATTTCAACATGTCAATTTATGAATACAGTGCATCTTGATCAATGTCACCTCTTCCATTATTCCCCTTCCTCGTTTATTCCAACCCTATTCTTCATCTCATGTAACCGTCTTTTTCATCGTCCTCCCCCGCCACAATTATTTCAATCTCACCCTTCATCTACTCATGAAATTTTCTTAATAACCTAATTGAGAGGTTATTTTTTGTTGATTGTG